GACGCTGCTTGCCTGGCATCTGTGTGCTGCCCCCTAAGGCCGCTATAAAGCATTTGGAAGCGCGACACAATCGCCCATCCCAAGCCCACGTGGGCAACAAGAACGGCGGAATCTTCTGCTTTAACATAGAAAGGCTCCGTGCTGCCTTGCACTTAAATCAGCCTCCATGGGTATGGATTACAAACTGGCATTAAGCGATCAATCCATCTGCACGTGTGATCAGGTGCTGCCACCTAGTGCTCACAAACAGTGTCACCCCCATTTCCCAGCATGACTCATTTCCATTTACTCTGTGTTTTTATTGAAGGAATCTCCCTGCACCCCCACCCCCCCTCCTCAATCCACCCCTCCAGCCATCTGTCACTTGGAATTCCTGTGGCATCTCTTTCTCTGTCTATCTGGAAAAAAAGATGCACATAGACAGTCATGTTTACAGTTTTTCCACGCAGGCTGGGGGGGGGGCTGACCATATATGCTGAGACCATACCTTCTGCAGCACAGGGGGTGCAGCTAGTGGTTCGACTCTAGTTGGTCTGTCTATCTGCTCTATGGTGTATTGTATCTAAACTGTATCAATATTGTATTGTCTATTATAGTGTGTCCTTTGTGCATACGTAGAGCGCAGACTCTGCTGCAGTTTACATTTATTTAATGTACTGCACCGCTAATAGAAAACTCATGACCCAAGACTTTCACTCACCAGCTGACTTGTTCTGCTGGTGTGACAATAAACATGACTTGATCGGGTCTGACTCCCATCGCAGACCTTTTTTTGATTCGGACCCGGGTCACTGGAGCTGCTGGAGGTGGAGAAGTGGACAGCCGAGGCTGAAGGTCCAGGACATTAGATGCTCCCTGCTCCCTGTCCCTGCCCCCCAACGACTAACAAGAAGCAGTCAATAACACAGATAACAATATTAATACATATTAGTAGAATAATAAATGCAGGTTCCCATGGCGATAGTCTAATTCCCCAGGAGGATGTTCCTTCTAATGACATTGGAAGTTTTTAAAACTCTGCCCCAAACCTCCACCTATAAATAAACTTCACGGGGCAGCTTGGCACTGCACTGCACTGCGTCACCTCCAACATCAGCAACCTTTTGTCACTGTAATGCCCTAATCGGGGGAGGGGAAGATCTCACCAGTTTATAGATAAAACTTACTGAGCTGCAAGGCTTTGGTCTGCAGGAGGACACTGGAACACACAGAGGAAGCCTAGACAATATGCAAACTTCATAAATAGAGGGTGGAGGCAGGACTCGAACCCCTGATCGTGAAAGCAGGACATAGCAGTACTACTCACTGAGCCACTATGAAGCATAGTGCTATTTGCAGATCATCTGCATGTTAGGGTTCTGCAGGTTGATGTCACACATTTCAAGGGTCTGCAGGGTCTCTGGACATGACATGCTTTTGAAACCAACCCTTTATCATCCATCCATCCACCAAAATTTTCCAGTCGGCGTCCCCAGAACCTACAGCCTATTCCATAAAGGGTGGCTGACAGAGGCAGGACCGCCCATGCAGTGCGGGGGCCACTCAGAGACGCACGCCGAGTTCATCACACAGCGTATCGCCGCTTCACCTTCAGCTCAGTGACACACGGTGATGGGGGGATATTGAAACTCCAGACCTTGAGCTGAGCTTGAATTTGCAGCCATGACCTTGGAGCCATGAAGCGGCGATTCTACCTGCTGCGGTAATTCCGAGATTAAATAGACACTCAGGTAGGACAGACAGCGCGGCTCTAATGTGATGTGATATTTCAGTGGAAAGGGAGCCTGCCTGTGCTTCCCTTCTGCTCCCACGTTTCTCACCTTTTTACCCATGAATCCTCGGCGCGGTGAAGCATCCGCTGACGGTTGTGTGAAATCGCCAGCTCCCCGCCACCATCCACAGTGCCCGCTGGCCACGTCCTGGAACAGATCAGATCCCGCTCGCTCTCTCTCTCTCTCTCTCTCGCTCACTAGCCAGGGAAGGTGCCCCTCCTCTAGGCAGCACTGGCCTGCACCCGCCACCCACCCCAAACAGTCATGTCTGTCTCCAATTAATCAGCATCCACACTCGCCCCCCCTCCACATGGCGCTCAGTGCGGACAGACTGGTACCTACCATCCCACACTGTTAGAAACCATACTCACTCCCCTCCCTACTTGATATCGGACTTATACCCACATTTCAAGGTCATTTCCACACCTCCCTCCCAAAACTCTCGCTAAAGTAGCCAATCAGGGGTGGGGCCACAGCTGATACCTGTTTGGACCCTGAGGAGCCCCCCTCCCATCACTCACCAATTCAAAACATATCACTGGCTAATGATAAGGTTGCCCCCCTGTATGAATTATGGCCCCTCTTATGCCCCCAATTTGCAAAAATCCTAGCATTGCCCCTGTAGCTAATCACGGCAGCTTGGTTGCCTAATTTAAGAACGCCCACCCAGGAGCTCCTCTGATCTCTCGTTTATTGAGTGTTATTTCTGACCTACAGGGGGCGTCTGTGGATCCGGTCTGGGGTGTCGCTGCTGCTCTGGGGGGGTCCCTTCACGCCATTTTTCAGCTTTTCAGTCCCTTTGCTTTCAATCTTAGATGAGCCACCAGCCTGCAGCCTCAATAACGGCCAGATGGGGGCGCTTTGGGGGTGGGCTGGGTAGGCTGCACAGCGGGACTCTAAGTAACGTATCGATGTCATGACTTTTGCACGGCCTCCCAGCACAGCCAAGGTCCAGTTTTCGTGAAAAATATCTCCACATATTTCAGCAACGTGAAGACTTTTGGGGAGAAGCTGCATGAATCCGCAATAAGGCTCTGCCCATCCCTCGTCCCCGAAAACATCGAAACCCTGTGTGTTGGGTTTCATTTCAGCCGGTAACCCCAGCGCCTGAATTCTCCCACCTCATTCATCTTCCTGTCCTCAGACATGGTCTCTTCATTTTTTCTTTCTGATGTTCCACCCACCCGTCCCGCCTCGTATTAAACAACGCTGTCCTGTCAGCTCACCGTTTGCCAGCCAGAGGGATTCTCACTGCAAAATGATCAGAAGCAAAACGCGAAGCTGGCTGTTTGAAAGCGGTGCTGAAGCCAGACATACCCACCTCACAGAACTGAAGGTCGAGTCACCATCTGAGGACACTACCAGCTCGGACTCGGTCCACTGAGCTGGCATTGAACGACACCCAAGACGAATCGATGAAATTACACACAGCAGCCTCGCATGGTAAAAAAACAACACAGTTTAATAGCATGGTGAGTTACTAACTGATCAACCGCACACAGGCGTTACAAACGATTAGTGCCAATGCGAGAATTCTTAACAATGTGTTCATTTCACAGACATTGTGACATCATCGTGACATAATGTGCTTCTGTGGTGCGGCGGGTGTGACATGTCAAGGACATGATCCAGGATTGATGCAGGTCACAGAAGAGAAGATCACCTTCACATGTATAAAAACTGCACGGTCACACCTTGGGTCACCCCAAAACCGGGGACGTCCAGCTCCAAGAGGTGACCTCACAGTGCACCAGGAAATCCAATCTACTGAGCCGAGATATCAGTCAGTCAGCATCCTCTTCTTAAAGAGCCGTGTCACTAATAATCATCCTTATTTATCTGGACTCGGCATCAGGGTCTTGTGCTGTCTAACCTTTTTGAGGGAGTAGGCCCATTCAATGATGGTAATGATAATTAGGGAACAATGACATCAGATGTGGAGAACATCTACCCCACACTGCTCCATCCTTTCCCATAGTGCTCTACGCTCTCCCATAATGCTCCACTGTCCCACAATGCACAGCGCCTCACACCTCTCCACTGTTCAGTCCCTATCAATGCTAATTTTCTGCCTCGTTGCCTTTAGCAGTACGTCCAGGCTCACGACACAGTCAAAGACAGCAGACGAGCGAGAATCATAGCAGGCTTGGATCAAGCGAACAGCGAGTGCTACACTGTCCCATCCTGGACAGACGTGCATGCGAAGGGCTCAGCTGACAGCCAACGCACAGCTCTCTCTGCCTGGAGAGGGAACCCAGGGTAAGTTCTGCTGAACTGCAGGTTCTCCGTTTCAGCATTCCAGAAGCTCCAAAGGCAGAGGACACCAGGGACAGTTCTGGAACATCGATCACAGCCCTGCCCCATCATGCCCCCCCACACTGCCCTTCTCCAGTCCCCCTCCCGGGCAGGTTTGGTGGGTACACGTCAGGGACACCAGTTTGTCAGTGGGTACAGCAGACAATGGAGAGTCTTGAATCTGCAAATGTCATCAGGTCACAGAGTTACTACCATGGATATGATTAAAATGAAAAGCATCTATTTTATTCCCTGAATGGTCTGGCTTCCTCTTGGTCGGGAGAAGAAGCCCCTTAAGTCTGACCACCTACAGATGGTGCAGATAAGCTTCTCGCTAGTAAAAACGCCATTATAGTGTTACAAGTCTGCTGCTAAAATCCATTACCGAGATACAGCAAAACATATTAGTGTCTTCAAGAATGAATTTTGCATTTATATGTAACAGGAGATGGCTGGGTTCCAGCAAATTCTACTGCAATTACAAGGAAAGAAGGCGGCACAGGAAAATGAAGGTCCAATGGGGCCACTGAAGGCAGGAACCAATAAAAGTGAGCAAGTGAAGTAAAACATGACAACCAATCAGAGTGAGCGAGCAAAACAGTGTGAACCAATGACAGTGAGAGAGGGAATGAATGAGTGAGTACGACAACCAATGAGGGTGAGCATGAGAAGGTATAAGTAAATAGGGGTGAAGGACCCGGGCCTAACCTAGAAGGATCGTCATCCACGGAGAAGATTCCTTTCAGCTCCACGCTGTTCATCTTGTTCTCAAAGAAGCCGTAGCTGAGAGTCACCTTTGGATCACAGTGAGGTACAGACACCCTCAGAGGCCCAGCACTGACAACAGCCCACAGTGAATTTCACAGCCATGCGCCTGTAAGCACCCGCAGCCGACGCAGAACGCAGGCGAGCAGCGGCTCCGCCCTCAACGCATCTTTTATGGGAGCCATTTGTAGTGTCGAAAAAAGGTGAGTCAATATGTGATCAAAAATGTCAATATGAAAGATGCATGAATGAGTGCCAGATATACATCGAGGGTGTGGCGCACGAGTGACAAAGTGAGAGTGTGTATCATTGAATTTTGATCTATATAAGCACAAGTCTGTGAGATTACAAAGATTCGTGAAAATTAAGCAGTGACTCAGAGAAGCCAAGAAGGAGAACCAATGAGAACCTCTGAGTGAGCCTGCCGACCAATGAGAGGGGGCGAGTAAAGCCATTACAGGTAACTTCCTGAGCTAATCAAAGACTTCCCAGCCAGTGGCTGGTGACATGGGCCCGCGGCGACTCTAACCTGTCGAGGGATGTGACTGGCCGAGAGCAGCTGCAGGTTCTCCAGGTGGGAGTGGAACAGGGGGCTGTGCACCAGAGAGACTCCCAGTCTCCGCTCCACGATGAAGCCCACCGTGCAGTCGTCTGGCAGCCGGATAGCAGCCGAGGTCTGCTCGAACCTGGGGCCACTGAGTGCAGACAGGCAGACTGTCTATGATTTAACAGGCTATGTAACTGACCCAGTTACCGGTCCAGGTCAGAGGGATTTTAATTTGAACATTTTTAGTATGTGTGTGTGTCTATGT